TTTTTTTTCTGTTGACTGCTTCTGTTAGCTCCATAATTATTAGCAAACGTACTCACGGGTAAATAAATAAATCGCCCTTGTAAAAACTGTCGTCGATAGTTGATATATTCGTCCAATCGCTCAACCCACTTATCATTGCTAAATAGCCTTCATATTATGACTCACGCATATGAATGCTTGCATATTTATCAGTAAGGTGTTTTATTCTATAGATATCACATGGAGTGCCTCACGCCGCCCCTTGACTCTGTTCCTGTAGAGGAATGGTTCTGTCCTGAGTGTGAAGCCAACAACCGTAACTCAAGTAAGCCTTTAAGTTAATGAAGTTCTTTGTGCAGCACGTGATCATTCACTGATAGTAATTAAAAGCAAAGCCTAAATGTTAATTAAATAAATATACATATACTGAAAGGATCCCTGTTGGCTTAAATTTTGTTTTATCTTGCTTTTAAAAATTTATTCTTTGTGTTATTGATGTTTATACCTTTAATTTTCTTTAAAAAAAAAAAGATTTTGGGAAAAAATGCACCCTAATACAGCCTTTCACAAATCAAACTTTAAAATCTCTTTTTATCAGGAGGTTCAGCTGAGGAACTCAGTGATGCTGACAGCCTGCCTTCTACTGCACGTCCTGCCACCAGTCGATCACAAGCCCGTGCTTCAGGCCCCACCAGAGCCATTGCCCGTACCCAGCAGAGTGAGAGGGTCCGAGCCAATGTCAACCGACATCGCATCACACAGGCACGCACGTCGCAGGTTTGGCATGAAGCTTGATGCTTATGTCTTGGCTTATTTTCTAACTCATTACTGTTGCATTCATGTGTTGTTGGATTTTGCAGCTTATTGTGTCAAAGCTTAACAAAGTTATTTGTTCCGCGTAATACATTTATTAATACCATTAAACACTTATTACCTCTACCAAGGTGATTATGTGATTGGAGCAGCTTGATGGTTTTTTAGCTGTTAGCAGGATCTATCAAAAAGTAATGGACAGATTTGCTTGAAAATTTTCTGCAAATTTTCAGCCCTGGTGGAGGTATGCAGTCTGGGACTGCTGTTGGTATTGTCATGTATATGGTTAATATACTTTAGTGCTATTGACTGCAAAAAAAAAAGGCATGCATTTTTGACTTTTAAGTGTCTTAAATGCCAACTAATATGTTTTTGCTAAGTAGCATTTAATGTTTGAGAGTCAAGTTTGCAGAACGTTGTGAAAGTAAAGCAGTGGAGTAAC